AACCTTGCCAACGACATGTGAGTTAGCTTCTTCCTCTCTACAGAGATTTCTGGTGATTTTTGTTTAGGCGGAACAACGACTACACGTTGATGCGGTTGCTGGCACAGGCGGACGCCATCAACTTCATCTTCTTCACCAAGATGGACATTGGTGGGTTGTTGTGCTGCCTTCAATTATGCAGGGTTGGGTTGGACTCTATGAGGGTTTCGAGGGCGTGTGCATTGCTGACCATGGCTGCGGGTGGTCCTCACACCAACAGCAGCCTGTGACTCCATGAAGTATCGTGTCTGGATGGATGGTGAGTGACTGGCTTTCTTTTTTAACTTTCTGACTAGCCCTAATTGCCACCTAATTCTATACATTCACCTGTTCATCCAGCGATTCCAGAATGTGGCAGTGGCAGTGCGGCTTGCCTTGATTTGATTTGTTGTGCTCCACGATTATCAGTTCAGAATGTCAGATAAGTGAAGGTTGGTTGGTTAGCTAGCAGGAAGTTCCCTGATCATTCTGTTATTTGTCAAAATGTGACAAGCATACTGATCTCTTTGTTTTGTAGTGTGGTGCTACCTAGCTGGGATGCCGGTAGCGATCGCTGTAGTGGCCGCGGCGACGATTGCTTCTTCCTTGGATGGGAGCCACCGTTCGCCAACCTTGCTGCTGCCGACGCTCGCATATCCTTCCCTGTCTGTGTGCCAGAGGTAAACGGCAGTTTCTTCCTGTTCTTCCACCGTTTGTGCTGATGAATGCTGTGCATTCCCTCCTTGTTTGAGCTCGGCCATGGAGGAGTCACTGGTATCTCTGGGCTGGCGGTGCTAGAACAGTACACATGGTCGCGTTGCCGAGGGAGCTGGACGGCCTTTTCAGGGTGGGTTCCTGCAGGACAGGGCAAAGATGATGGTTTTGTCGAGGAATTTCTGTGATGTTATGAGCCATTATGTTGATCTGCTTCTGTTTCCCTTCCAGGATTTGTGGGATGCAAGCAACAGCAGCAACAGCGACCGGGCACGTCTGATTCCAGCTATGTTCAGCATCATGTATGGGAAGGTGGGGATCAGTGCCGACACCCCCAGTTCTACCTCCGATTCTTTCTTCAGTGATAGTCTTAATAGCTCTTGTGGGCAGTCATTGATAGGCATGGTGTGTACTTAACTGCTTATTGAAATGATCAGGTTTACTTTCCATTCCTACCGGTTCATACATTGTTCTGCTCTAAATATTTTCTTTTATTCGAGGGGATAGGCAGATGTTCGCACAGGCATGGGGCAATCCGGTTTCCTTTCTATTTTGTTTGTATTGCCATGGTGCACTTCGTTGGATTGTGGTGTTCTGTGTAGTTTTCTACTATATTTAGGTTTACCACGGCTTGTTGTTTACTGGTTGTAAGAAAGCACATAAGAAATGAAACCTGAATATCTGGATTGATGGGTGATGGGGGAATATTTATGTTTCTGCTTAATTGGATGGGTTTGATTTCTCTGTCAATTAATATTCCGTATACATAGAGCCTCAATTTTTGGTAGAGGGAGATTGTCAATGCTCTTGCCTCGCTCGCTATAGATTTCCTTTCTAGATAATTATAGACATGTTTTGTTAGTTTATATATGTGTTGGTTGGCTGTTCCTATTTACTCCGCATGCAGAGGATTGTTCAAGGTGAAAGAAAGAGCATGGAGATTCTCTGTGTCGTCCTATCTATATTTGGATCCTATTTTATCATGCTCAGTGTTTTTTTGTTGTGCAATACCTTTGGCTTTTATTTTCGTGCCAAACAGTTTTAGAATTGGTTCAGACATCCTTTTACTTCTATGGCTGCAATGAGGTTGCGGCGTGATGGAGAATCCTTCTTGATATTATAGGTGCAGAGGCTTATGCGTTCTTTCCTTTATCAAAAAAAGATAGAGTTGTTCTTAAAAAGGCACTGCCCATGTTCTCTTTTATAGTTCTCTGTGTATTTATCGCTATGGGAAAAAATGATCCGTGATAAAAAAAATTGTTAGCTTGAACGTAGAGTGTCAACATGTTCCTTAGGTGCTGGTCACTACATTTTGTTATTTAAAGGTCGGTGTGATAGGATTCCTTTATTTCTGGTAGATGTTCAGTTATATATGCTATTGGTAGAGTGCCTGCAGAAACATAGAGTGTTCCAGTTTCATCTATTTTGTTTCCAGGTGCTCATGCAGCATTCGATGCCGCTTTTGCTCGTTCTTACTGGTGTTTGCATGTTGGTTTATGTCCCTGTGTTTCTGCTAGCATGGTGCATTCCATTGCCTTGTGGTACCCTATGTGATTTTCTATTTCATTTCTGCTGGCATGGTGCATTCCGTTGGCTTGTGGTCCCCTGTGTAATTTTCTATTATATTTACCTTTGCTGCAGCTTGCCATCTACTAATTGCATGGAAGCAAACAGGAGATAAAATTTTAATATCTGCGTTGATGTGTAAGGAGTGGATGTTTATATGCGTGTTTAATTGGATGGGTTGGTTCCACTGCCGGTTAAGGTTTTATATAGATAAGGCCTCAATTGTTGGTAGAGGAAGGTTATCAGTGTCTATGGTTCACTTGTTATGCATTTCCTTTGTGGATGATTATAGACAGATTTTGTTAATCTATATATATATGTTGATTGGCTGTGCCTTTTTATTCCGCATGCAGAGTGTTGTTCAAGGTAAAAAGAAAGAAAGTAGAAATTGTCTATGTCGTCCCATCTGCTTTTGGATTTTATTTTATGGTGCCCGATGTTTTTTATTGTGCAGTGCCTCTGGCTTTTATTGTTGCGCCAGACATTTTTAGAATTAACCGAGACATCCTTTCCTTTGTTTCCTGTATAGTTTCAAATCAAATCAAACAGACATGTGCATCAATCATCCAAGGTATCAATATCAGCTATCAGCCTCACACCAGAGCAATTACTATTTCTGCCACTTCCACTGAAGGTTATCCTTTATCATTTCTCATACAACTATTATTTTTGTATATCTAGCCCATCTTATGTGCTTGTTTCTTCATCTAGAGATACACATATATAAATGACTGTTTATTCCAACCATCCACCACATGCAGATACATCAGACACTTCTTCCAACACTAAAACTGATCTATCATCTGATACCCCTTCCAACACCACCATGACAGGTAAATCTAATCCTTGTTTTATGTAAATTAATTAAATTTGTTCACACAGTATAATGAAGATCAAATAATCTCGCATGATAAAACTACATGGAAAACAATCATGCCAAGCTTCGTATAATGTTGTCAGTACATTTTACTCACACTGACCTTCTTAAAAAAAACTCCGCCAGCTGACACCTAACATCTATTTTATACTTATGCAATTTTCACTTCACTTACAGTCATTACACCCTATCTAGCAGCTTGAATACTCCTCAGCTAGATCTCTTAAAACTCCGTCCTAAGTTTTTTAGATGCTAATGTACCAGTTGCAGCCTGCAAAAACTCTCTTCATCAGCAACTTTTAAATGTTCATTCAGTTCTTTCGCAAACAATGCAAATACTAATAGGAGTATTTTCATACAGGCAGCACTAAGCGTGCGTTTAACGAGCTGTGTTTCTGTGCAAAGAATGTTGATCCAACAGCTGACTTGAAAAAGTATATCGAAGATCTTGAGTGCCTAGACCGTTCAAGCAAATTCTATGCTGTTGCTGTGAATAACACATTCATGAAGCAGGATAGAGTTGTAAGTTCCTACATCTGCTACTCATTTATTTATATACACCATACATGGCTATCTATCTTACCAATTATGAGTCAAGGCTGATATACAATGCCAATTACAGTACTGTACTAAAGAATTTTCTCAAGACTACTTAAAGCCATTAATGGAAGGCAAGGAAACCATCAGCATTGGAGTTCAAATTGCAGGTGGTGTTTCAAAGAATATGATCCTCCATATGTCAACGGATGGTCGATGCAACCTGAAGAAAGGATGGGCAAAATTTGCAACCCACAATCACATATACCTACAATCACTATGCACCTTCCATTTCTACAAAACAACTCGCCTGGAAGCCACCTTCGATGTTCTATAAAGAACATAGCAATACTCATGGCTATGTTGCAGCCATCCTTTTGCTGCCATCAACCAGGTTGATCACTGTCAAGATAACATGTATTAGTTCTAGGCCTTACATGGTAATCATGGAACCTCCTAATATGAAGAACCATCTATATATGTACTTACTGCTATTAGAGACCTCTAAATATCAAGATGCCTGTGTGCAATTTGTACTGTGGTTTGCTTCTATGTAAGACACTTCCTCGTACTTTCTTGACCCTGGTTGCGTCCAGGCGGCATTTCCTCGTACTGTCATTGGCGCGCCCCTAGCTCTAGTGTGATAGTAGGGTGGACTTTCTGTGCCCACCGGCACTCGCTTGCACAGCCACAAGCTATACCGACAAAAACTTCAGGGAAGCAGCTAGAAGTCAAAAGTTCTCTTGGAGTCGAGAGATCCTTCGACTGTTACTGATCATCTTCACTTTTACTTTTCGCTTCAGGCTGTGTTTAGATTTAAACTTTTTTCTTCAAACTTTCAACTTTTTTATCACGTCAAATGTTTAGACACATGCATAGAGCTTTAAATGTGGACGAAAAAACCAATTACACAGTTTGCATGTAAATCGCGAGACGAATCTTTTGAGCCTAATTATGTCATGTTTTAATAATGTGGTGCTATAGTAAACATTTGCTAATGACGGATTAATTAGGCTTAATAGATTCGTCTCACATGTAGTTTACAGGTGGAATCTATAATTTGTTTTGTTATTATTTTATATTTAATACTTTAAATATGTGTCCGTATACTTAAAAAAATTTAACACACAAACTAAACACAGAAACAGAACCTAATCTGGAGAGATGCCTGTTTGCAGATGTCACTCTGGTACGAGTGCGACACGCAGTCAGTCCAGTACACATAAGAGAGCAAGAACAGGTGTCCACCATGTGATTGATCAGTGCGCCCCAGTACACCAAACAAAAACAATGATCATCTGATGAAAATGATGTTATTTTTCGTTGGGCTGGAACACAATATTTTTACTTGAGCGATCGATCTATGGAAGTTGGAATATCGTTCTCACAGGGCAGCCAAATGGCAGCACGCTCTGAGAATTTTCACAACTCGATCGATCACAGCACAGCCGAACTTACAATAGGAATTGAAGCTAGCTAGAGAGGAGAGGAAAAAAATAAGAATGTGCCAACATCCATGCACGATCATGCCTCAATTTCTACCCTAGCAAGCAATGCAACAAATCGCAATGCAAGCGCGCCTGCCTCATCTCATCTGATGGAGGTGGCAGAGGCGGAGGCGAGGACGCCGTGGAAGGTGGCCTCATCGCAGGGCAGGGTGATACCCATGTCGTGGTCGAAGCCAAACTCCTCCTCGGCCTTCCTGAGAAGCTCCTGGAACTCTGGCGCCGCAAGGCACGCCACCGGCACGATGTAGCGTCTCCGGCTGATGCCGACGTACACGGCGAAGTGGCCCCTCGGCACGTCCCCAGGCAGCCCATCGTCGTCGCCGCCGGCGCCCTTTATCCCGAGGCTGGACGAGCACCTCCGCAGCATCTGCTTGAGCTGCCCCGGCTTCTTGGACCCCGTGATCGCCATATGGCGCCGGTCGATGTCCACCGGACGTCCGGACGGTTAGTGCGTGCAGCAGTAGTAGTGGTACGTCGAGCAGCGAGACATCGACCTGCCACCTGCGGAATAGCGTGGTATTTAAGGGGGAAGGGTGGGAGACACGCGGGTGCATGTGGGCGTGGGCTCGCTCGGGCACACGGCGGCAGCGGCACGGCCGGGTGGGTGTTAGTAGTAGAAGGCTGGTAGCTAGTGGGTCGCGCGCGAGGTGGAATGTACGGTCCTACCACGCTACTGCCTGGCGCCGATCGCGCGCCGCGGATATGGCTGATTTCTCTACTCCGGTTTCGCGGCCTCTGGGAGCGTGGCGGGGTAGGGACCGTGTACCGGGCCTACCGGCACGGGTGCGCAGGGCGGTATGTGGCGCATGTGGACGTTGTCCCGGCACCTGCTACGCCAGAAGCCGTTGCTGCGTACTGTACTAACCCGGTTGCTGCTTCTCTGGAGAGAGGGATAACAAGGGAGATTTTCTGTCTTGCGCGGTCAATTGATTGAATGATTGATTTTGATTCGGGCAGGACGGTCCTTTTTTGGGCGGGTTTATCAGGCCACAGAAGGCTAGCTAGTACTAGCTGTCTATACTGATTGCAGGATTTCCGAAACACCATGTTCTCTACACTGCCAATCTGCGATGTTCAATGAATCTACTCCCAAATTGCATCTGGGAATGTACTGCTTTTCGGGGGTTGCTGGCTGGTGATCAGTAGGGACCGGAAATGGTAGGTGAGGATTGTACGTAACACTGTACGACTGTTTGTACTCCTCGCAAGTTGCAGCCAATGCTCCCAAAAAACATTTCTTTATGCCATATTTCAAATACAGTAAATTAATCACTTTTGGGCTGTCCCTTTTAAAGAAACTAGGTGATGCGGGAATTAGTAAACAATGCTCAATTTGTTTTTCAAGAGAAAAAAAATAATAAAACATCAGGGTTTATCAATGCTTATCATGAAACAAACAAATGATACCCCGTATTAATGTGAAACATATTGATAAGTATATCTTAAATATTGTAAAAATGATAGATTTGTTAAAATATTGTGCAAATGATGTGAGGGGTGATGATTAGATATACTTACATGTTGATTTATAAAATTAAATAAATTGTAGATGATGTTGTATGCTTGATAAGAATATGTAATTATTACTAGTGGGTGATAATGTGATATGGTTGCATGTTGAGCTTTAGACTTAGTGGGATATAACTTTATAGAAAGTACATATGAAAGAATACATAGATAGGCACGCTTCTCAAACTACTAAACGATATAATTTTAATAAAAACTTTATATACATATGAATTTATTAAAAATCTGTTTAAAATATAATTTCAACTTTATAATAATTAATTCATTCTATGGATCTGTTTGGGGGAGCTTCTAGCAGCTGCAGCTTCTCCTAGAATCTCCAGTAGCCAGAAGCTCCCTCCAACAGTTCAGCTTTTTACCCAGATTCTGAGAATCAATCTGTAGTCGTAGAATCTAGAAAATGAACTAGAAACCAAAAGCTGGGTTTTCTAGCTTCTCTAGATTCTCACCAGCTAGCTTCTCAGCAGCTGCTTTTCATAATGTTAAGCTCCCCCAAACAGGCCCTATTCCATTTAGAAGCCGCGTGCATATAGATACTATAGTATCCATCCTCCCTTAACAATACAATCACTGGTGGAGAAGAAGTTTTTACTCCCGGTTCGTAACCCCCCTTTAGTCCCAGTTTTCCAATCGAGACTACAAATCCGGAACTAAAGATCGCTATCGTTAGTCCTGGGTGAAATAACCGGGACTAAAAATCTATCTTTAGGACTAAAGATATTGCCTTTAGTTCCGGTACTAAAGATAGAGCCAGGCTGATCCCGGCTGCTCCTTTATTCTATTCTTTTCTTCATTGTTTTTAATATATTGATTTCACTCCATCCCCATCTCCAAAATCCCAAATCAATTATCACCTCCAAATCCTCAAATCGATCATCTCCAAATACATCACAAAATCTTAAAAAAAATTACATCACAACTTCTAATAAATTCATCACATATCCACATCACACACAAATCAAATACATCTCAGATCCGGATCACAAATTCTCAAAAAAAAAAAAACAAAACAAGCCGCCATCTTCCGCCTGCCGCCCAGCCGCCGCCTTCCGCCTTCCGCCTGCGGCCGCCAGCCGCCCGGCCGCCGCGCGAGGCCGGCGCCGCGCCTGCAGACCGGGGAGGAGGGGGGAGGGGGAGGAGAAGGAGCCTCGCGCGGCACCGCCGCCGCCTGCAGATCGGGGAGGAGGGGGGAGGGGGAGGAGAAGGAGAGGAGGAGGAGGAGGAGAGAATCCTCCGCGTGTAAGATAGCGAGGAGAAGGGGATCGGAGGAGAGGAGAAGAGGAGAAGGGGAGGAGGAGATATGTATCTTGATCCCGCACGCCTCGATCTCTGTGCGCATGCCGATCTTTTTTTCCGGTTGATGTTACTAACCAGGACTAAAGATTGATTACCAACCGAGACTAAAGATCAAAAAGTACCTATAACCTTTTTCAACCGAGACTTAAGATAATCTTTAGTCCCGGTTTTATTGTAACCGGGATTATTATGGAATCTGGTCGACCGACCAAAGATGGTTTCTCCGCCAATGAATTATACCATGTTCAGACACGAATATTCTACACCGCTCGATTATTGAGTGTACCGATGATAATGAGCACCATCTTTGCTCTTCAACTTATCAAACGTGACCATATTATAAATTTGATTTTTTTTCATGTTTTTAACATTGTTTAATTTAAATATATAAAAGTTTGAAAAGAAATTCATTTTTTCCCTTAAGCTATTTCACCAGAGCACTCGACCTCTAAACAATTTTTGTTCTTCTTTTACACCTCAAACTATTGGAGATGGTCCTACTTAATCCCTAACTGCATTTCTCTTTTTCCCTTCCTATATATTACTTCTTCTGTTTCAGGTTATAAGACTTTGTAGCATTGCACATATTTATATACATGTTAATAAATCTAGGCGCGCGCGCACATATATATATATATATATATATATGTATATATATATATATATATATATATATAGATTCTTTAACATATATATGAATGTGGGCAATGGTTGAAAGTCTTATAACCTGAAACGGAGGTAGTAGTAAGTAATATTCTCCTATAAGTCTCGACACTATTTATAATTTTTTTTATCATCATTGTTCGCATGGTTTGGAAGCTCCAAAAGACTGATCTAAAAATCAATTGCTCTACAAAACTACAGCATAAAAATATATAGCTTACATAGAAAGTTTTGAAAAGAAAAATATTATTATGGATAAAGTAAACCATTTTCAACAGTTTAGAGTAAAATGAGCAAATAAATAGTATAAGGGTTAAATGATCCCATGAAATAATTCGACTGAATAAAAAAAGTTTTTTTTTTCTAAAGGGACATAAATTAATTTTTTGCTACTAAGCATTGCTGCCTAATAATTAATGACAGATAAAATATCGTAAATTGATCGATTTAATTGCATCTTTTAGATAATGGAAAGACTCCCGGCCTTTGCTTCAGAGAAGCTACAACCATTCCCTAAAAAAAAAAAGAACCTACAACCACTTATTACATAGTTCACTCAATAAAGAGCACATAAAAACTAGGAAATGATGAAACAATAACTAATAACTCGAACATCGTTTATTCAAGTCCATTTGGAAATATACACCCAAAGTTAGCAAATATATACATGACCATTGTTTCTAGGTTTCAGCACGCAATATATATTAGTTTCTTGTCCTCGTCACATCTTTGAAGTTGTGCCCAGAACCGAAATCGGTACGTTGCCCTTAACAGGACCTGCAGATAAGATTTCATTAATGATTTGTTAAAAATCATATCATTTTTACAAAACAAAAAACCCAACATATAGCAGATGCCCCTACTAGAATAAGCTTCTTTGTTTTTGAGTCAATACCTTTAAGCCAATTTCCATCAATATGAGAAGTACTAACTCCATCCCAAAATAAGTTTATTTTTACACATACCAATAAAAAACAAAAAAAAAACAGAATAACCCAACTTTATTAAATCCCAATGCAACTATTTCTCACTTTATCAAATCCCAATACAATTATTCTCTACTTTCACAAACTCCAATGCAATGATTATTCTAAAAACAAACTTATTTTGGGACAAATAGAAGAAGCTTAAAATGAACCTACTACGGGATAGAGGAAGTAATTTTTAGAGGTTCCAAGCCACAAGAAATATGTATTGATCTCCAAAGAAATTTAGCAAAATGGTACTAAAAACTGATAAATAGTTTCACTTTTAATAAAAAAAAAGTTATATTGCTATTCCAATTCCTTCATGGTAAATTATCTTTAGTTAATATTACTTCTTTAAATGGTAATACACAAAAATGTTTATTTTAAGAAGCATTTTAATTTCTATAAAAATATGTTTCTCTTAATATGGTCATTATTTATTAAAGCCAAGTGCATAGAACAAACCCAAAATTAACAAATTTGATGAAGATTCCATCTAAATAGTCAATATCATCATTCAATTGAATATGCACAATTAATATTGGTCACTAAATCATGCCAATTTTCCAGGTTCTGGCCTACCAATAATGCACTTTTAAAGAAACCATTTAGTGGAATAGAAGTCATGACCGTTACAACTGAAACATTTCTCTTTGAGCAATATTGTAGAGAATTGGATATCTATCCATAAAGTAGAGGAAATATTTCCTAACCATTATCCTTCCAATATCTTACTTGCTTCCCATCATTTACTACCCATGATCCTAATTTTTTTAATAAAATTCTTGACCTTTATGAGGCTTGACCAAAAATGAGAATCCTCTTGTTTTCTCTTAACTTGGGTGACTGTATTGTTTTATAAATATTTTTCTTTAATATGTCCGGCCAAATATCTTTCTAATTAATCAGTTTAAAAACAATTTGCTTAACATATATTTATTATGATTTCTATTTTATGCACCCCTAGTCTATCCTGGTTCTTTGATTGAGCAATAATATTCCATCTTGCTAATCTATATTTCTTTTTTATCATCTCCTAAAAAATACGATCTATAATAATCACTTTAATTGCATATAAAATATGATTGTATCAATTATACACTACCAGCGACGTACGTCTTACTTTCTACTAGCTTGTGGTCCACTCTAGTAGTACGTATTTATTTAATTTAAGTTCGATTGCTGTTCAATAAAGGTCCCGCATTATCTAATAGTTTTAATTTAGACAAATTTTACGGTACATTGTACTGCAAATATATACTACCAGTACA